TACATATATTTATAACGTTATATTAAGTTTTTTAACTTACCTATTCTTTAATTTATATTCATAATAAAATCACGTATTCTAAGATTAATATAATTGCGTCTTAATTGACTTTATTTTACAATATATTTAAATATAATATATTTTTACGGGTATTTCAAAATAGGATAAATTTCTTTTAATTTTACTTTATTATTAAAGTTCTGAATAAGTTGATATAAAAAACTTAATTTTTAAAAGTTCTTTAACTCTGTAATTAAATCCTCATATTTTTTAATATTTTAAAGGTAAACATTATGTAGAAAAATTTTTATTTAATGTGACAATTAGAGATTCACTTTTATTAAATAGAATATTTAATGTGTTCTAATAACATTTTTATATACATATAAATCTATTATGTATATACAGTATATGTATACAAGTATATGTATAATGAATTAGAAATTAAAAATCAGGAGAATTTTTGTCAATTAATGAAGAGAAGAAACAGATCTCTCTTTTCTTTTAAATTATATTCAGTTGCCTATTCACAAATTCCGCAAAGCCTACGTTTCCATCATTTTTGCCTTCACTTTTGTCACGAATCGGAAGCTCTTGAATATAGAAACTTCTTCGCGTTTTCGAACTACATTTTTTCGAAAGGAGATCTTATCGATGCAATAGTCTACATTAGTACAGACGGAGACACGAATGCCTTAACACTTGAAGTTACAAATTACTAAAGTTACAAATTACATTTTATAGATCTTAACAAAATTTTAAAAATATAGTAAGTAAAATTATATATGAAAACTACACTGCAATAGAAAATAAGATAAAATTGTTTCCAAAGAATATACAGTACAATATTACAATATTTATTAATTCTTGAAATTTTTTTCTCTTGCTACTAAATTTTATATAGTAATCTAATATTGCTATTTTTAATCTATTTGTAAACTATTGTGTCTGTTACTATTTTTTGTGTGAAAACAAATAATATAACCTTAAGTAATTCTTTATCGATTTTAAAAATTAAATTATAATGATTACTCAATAAATATTTAATGCGCAAAAAAAAACTACAATACAGTTTTTTTTATAAATATCTTGATCGTGCATTCAAGGAAGTTGTCAACTGAAATTGTGCTATTATTTCTTTTTTTATAGTTTATTTTACACGACTTTGCGTAAAAAGATAAATATTTAGATGTGCATAAAAAGATAAATATTTAGATGTGGAAACAAACACATTCTCACACATTCGTTAAAACTTTTATATTTAATATACAGAACATATTTTATGTGCATTACTAGATTCGATGTTAGATACACTCGAATAATGAATCTTAAAAACGATACTTTATTTTATTGCGTTACCTACATGATTTTTTATATACATACATACATTATAAGTGTATGTACGTATATACATATGTACATATGTCTTGTATATAAAGTCATATGTTTCTTATATTGACACAGGACATCACCTTTGGTGTGAATATATAATAACTTAATTTAAACTAGAAAGTATCAAAACCATGAAGTTGATAATCATCTTTGGGGCAATTGCGATGTTGATGGCAACTGTAGTTAGTGGGGAACCAATAGACGTAAGTGACTGAAATTATGTCTATTTTAAATTAAAATGAGTTCAGTAATAGTTTAACATTTTAACCTTTAAGATTTTTAACATTTTCATATGGATACTTTTGCTAGTCGATCTTACCAGTTATGTCGATGACTAAATCATACGACATCTTATTTGTATGTATTGTTTCCGAAATTACGTGCGAGAGCGCTTGACCGAGTCGATTAAATAACGTTAGATGTTAAATGGCGTTAAAATTTCGAAAGAACAGTGAAATCTCGTGCACATACATCAATCTTCAAACTGTAATCTAATTTATTGTAAAGTAGTTATTATACGCGGTTGGAGCAATAATTCAAGTATCTATTTCAAGTTATTCATATATAGTTATGTTTCTACATCTTTCTTTCTCTCTTTTGTACACTTATGTGTATAAAAATTAGGTAATATTATTATTTTTAGAATTTATAAAGTTATTTCTGTTAAATTTAACCTGTGCGAATTCATAAACCTTGTATAGATAAGAAAATCAAAACAGACAGATACAACAACGATATGTGGCCACGTAGTTCCAATAACAATTATTTTAAGATTATTACATGACAATATTTTAATCAAACATGGTGTATTTTTATTATTATAAATTTATATATAAATATATTTTTTTTCAGGCCGCATTATTGGCATCATTAGCAGGAGGTAGAAAATAAATCTGGCCATTGGATTGCAAATAAATGCAAAATTATAAAATTGTGTAAATCGTGAATGTATCAATAAAACATCAAAATTAATCACAAATAATATAGTTAAATTTGCATTTACATATATTTATAACGTTATATTAAGTTTTTTAACTTACCTATTCTTTAATTTA